ATTTTATTTAATCCAGCATATCCAAAATGTCTTTTTGTGTGTATATGTGATGGAGTTTTGCACTCTTGTTGCCCAGGCTGGAGTGCAGTGGTGCAATCTCGTCTCATGGCAACCTCTGCCTCCAGGCTTCAAGCGATTCTCCTGCCTCAGCCTCCTGAGTAGCTGGGATTACAGGCAAGTGCCACCACACCCAGCTAATTTTGTAGTTTTAGTAGAGACGGGGTTTCTCTGTATTGGTCAGGCTGGTCTCAGGTGATCTGCCCTTCTTGGCCTCCCAAAGTGCTGGGATTACAGGCATCAGCCACCATGCTCGGCCCAAAATGTCATTTCAACTTGTAATCAATAGAAAAATTAATCATGAGCTATTTTTCCTTTTTTTTTTTTTTTAATATGAAGTCTTCAGAATCACTCCAGTTTATGTGGAGCAATTCCCCCAGAGAGGAAGCCAAGGTGGTCACCAGCCAAGAAGTGGCAGAGCTGAGGTGTGACTCCAGGATCTTTGTTGCTAACCATTTTGTGGCCCCTGAAATCTCACGTCAGAAACTAGAGTCTCTTAGCCATGAGCTTCCACTCTTGCTTCAGGCTAAGAACCAAACTCAGTGAGTGTTCCTGAGTCAGAACCCTGACTTGGAGGGAGGTAAATCAAAGGTAACTTGACCATATTAGTGGAAACCAGAGTGGATTAAACACGTGTTAAAAACAAATTTGACTTCTACCTTCTCCTATGAGAGCTTTTTCTGGAGCAGTGACCCCTCCCTGCTTGTCAGATATCAAGTCATGTTCCTCCTCGGCTCAGAGCTCTCCAGGGGCTCCCGTATCATGAAGAGCAGAAGTAAAAGTCCTTCCAGCGGCTCACAAGGCCTCCTGTGATCTGTCCTCCTCCTAGTTCCTTTCTGATCAAATTTCTTGCTCTTCTCCCTTCATTCATGCTGGCCTGGGCACCCCAGATTCCTTGTCATTCCCGAAGCTCATCAGGTACTTCCTTACCTCAGGGCCTTTGCACCTGCTACTTCCTCTGCCAGGATGACCTCCCTCTGGGTGTCAGCATGACTAGGCCCCTCCCTCCTCTCAGACCCTTTCTCAAATGCCACCTTATCCCTGAGCCGCAGCCCCATTGCACCCTGTACCCCACTGCCTCTGGCTCTCCTTCCCTGTCCCCCTGCTCCTCTTCTTCCTGTTGCACCAGTCCCTATGGGTCATATTATACATTTTACTCATTTACCCATCATCTGTTTCACTTAGTTATAGCCACAAGAGCATGGCCTTGTCTGTTCTGTTCAGTGTTTTAGCCACGGTGCTAGGACCACGCTTGCAGGTGTTCCATACGTATGCGTTGAAGGGATGAATGACATGGTGGGTGGATGCTGAGCCAAGGCAAAGGGAGGAGAAATGGAGAGGAATAGGCCTCCAGAACTGTCCCTTGCTGAGAGAAGCCAGTATGGTCAACTGGTTCTTGCTGGAGTGTTAGCAACTTGAGGCTTAACCAGAGATAAATGCAGTCAAGACAGAAGGGGGCTGAGTGAGGTGGCTCACGCCTGTAATCCCAGCACTTGGGAGCCTGAGGCGGGAGGATTGCTTGAGCCCAGGAGTTTGAGACCAGCCTAGGAAACATAGTGAAACCCCATCTCTACAAAACAAAATTTTAAAAAATAGCTAGGTTTGGTGGCACACACCTGTAGTCCCAGCTACTTGGGAAGCTGAGGCAAGAGGATCACTTGAGGCCAGGATTGTTTGAGGTTACAGTGAGCTAGGATCTTGACACTGCACCCCAGCCTGGGTGACAGAACGAGACTCTCTCTTTCTCTTTCCCTCTCTCCATTATATATATATATATTATATATAATATATGTATATATAATCATATGTAATTTATACATATGATATATATAATGTATATATTATATGTTATATATAATATATATAATATTATATATAATATTATATATATATCTGATAAGCACTGTTGATCATTGAGGCATGAGTTTGTATAGACTCTCAGACATGGTGATGCTTGGATAGGGGTGTTCGGAGAGTAGGAAGGTTGAGGCCCCCAGACCCCTTCTAATCACAATTTGTAAGCCGTTACCTGGGTTTCCAGTTCATTATAAAATGTCAGACACTCTTTGTATTCGGAGAGTAAGACTGTGCTGATACAGGACAATTGATGTTCAACTCTCAAGAGTAGAGACTTGGAAGAACATAATGCCTGTCTACAGGCGCCTGAGGGGCTGTCACTGAACACCAGAGACTTGTTCTGACCTCAGAAGATGGGCCCATGATTGGGAGCTACGGGGAAACAGAATTCGATGTACCATAATGAGAACTGTCTAACCGCATTAGGGCTCTGAAAATGGGCTGCCTTTGGGAGGTAATGAGGTTGCCATCACTAGGGGCATTCGAGCAGAGTCCAGATGACCACTTTTTAGTGGTGCTGCAAGGAGCATCACATATCAGGTGGGATTTCTGCCCAGGGTGCTTGAGTCCTGTGATTCTTTCTGGGGTTCCTATTCTGGTTCTGCTGGCCAAAGGAGTAGGTCTTGAAGGAGGGTCCAGAGTGCTTATAAACCAGTGACTGTGCCTCCTTTGATACCCAGAGCAGTCACTCCTCTTCCCTCCCTCCCTGTCTCCACCACGTTCCTTTCTGAACCTAAATAGACAGAGCCCTTAAGCCTGCAGCAGAGGACATGCAAAGCTCCCAGCCTCTTGCACGTCTCAGGTCTCATTCTGCTCACACCGGATCCTTGTCAGAAATTGGATCACCCACCAGCAACCAGAATCGGCTTCTAAATATGTATCACGTACATCTAGTTTATGTTCAGCTACCCTTGAGCCAGAATACTGACCTTCTACAGCTCTTCCTGTGGACCCGTGCAGCCTGGGCTCCCAGACACGCTGGGGCTATCCCACCGTGTATGTCACCAGCTCATCCTCATTCTTTCCTTCATGAATATTTGTCTTGCTTCTGCTCCACGCTTCAGAGAGACTGGTTCCAGGATCTTTGTCCCTGATTCTTCTGTGGTCTCAAATCGCATAGCAGAAACTTGTATCCCCACCCCCTTGTGTCCATGGCTCCTGCTTTAGGCTGAGAGCCAAACTTAGCTTCCCTGCTTCAGAACCTGGCCTCGTAGGGGCTAAACCAAAGGTGACCTGAACATATAAGCAGAAACCAGAGCAGACCAAACACCTGCCGAAAGCAAATTTAAGTCCAGCTGCCTAGGACATAGCGAGGCCGACCATGGCTCTGCCCTCGTGGAGCCAACATTCCAGAAGACACATGCGTAGACTGTAGGGTCACGTAACCTGCCTTTCTTCATTTTCAGGTAGGAAACCACAGCTCAGAGAGACCAAGTGACTTGCACAAAGTCACACAGCGAACTAGTGAGAAGCCGAGGCAAGAGCCAAGCCCCCCAGTTCCTGGTTCAGCACTGCTCCCCTCATATTGCATGGCACCCCTTAGAGGGGGATAGATACATCACAGTGGCTAGGAACACAGACTTTTGATTTCGATCCACCATCGTTTAAATTCAGTGCCTTTATTTACCAGCTGTGTGAGCCTGGGCAAACTGCTTCACTGCTATGTGCTTCAGTTTTCTTATGTATAAAAAGTGGACAAAAATAGTCACAAGGCCGGGTGCAGTGGCTCACGCCTGTAATCCCAGCACTTTGGAAACCGAAGTTTGGGAGGCCGAGGTGGGCGGATTACAAGGTCAGGAGATGGAGACTATCCTGGCTAACACAGTGAAACCCCGTGTTACAAAAAATTAGCCCGGCGTAGTGGCTACAAAAAATACAAAAAAATTAGCTCGGCGTAGTGGCTAGCGCCTATAGTCCCAACTACTTGGGAGGCTGAGGCAGGAGAATGGCGTGAACCCAGGAGGCGGAGCTTGCAGTGAGCCGAGATTGCGCCACTGCACTCCAGCCTGGGCGACAGAGCGAGACTCCGTCTCAAAAAAAAAAAAAAATTCACAAATCTACCATGAGGGCCAGAGAGAGAATCCCTGTAAAAAGCCTACCACATTATATAGCAAGGAAGAAATGAAAAATAAATAAAGTCTAGCACAGTGCCTGGCACACAGAGCACATCAATGCCACTGTTATTGTCACTGCAGTCAGTCAGTGTTAACACTCAAAGGACCCAGTTCCTGAGGCTCACACTGAGCCACAGATGTGTCTCAATGACGAACTGCTGAACATGGGTGGAACTGAGAGTGCGGACACCTGGCTCCTGGGCTCAGCTCTGCCACTGACTCACTGTGTGACCTAGGGGTACGTGTGAGTTTCTTATTACTGCTGGAACAAACGACCACGTTGTAGGGCTTCTAATGACACAAATCTGTTATCTTCCAGTTCTGGAGGTCAGATGTCCAAAATGCGTCTTTTTTTTTTCTTTTTTTTTTTTTTGAGATGGAGTCTCCCTCTGTTGCCCAGGCTGGAGTGCAGTGGCGCCATCTCAGCTCACTGCAACCTCTGCCTCCTGGGTTCAAGTGATTCTCCTGCCTCAACTTCCCGATTAGCTGGGATTACAGGAGCGCGCCACCACGCCTAGCTAATTTTTGTATTTTTAGTAGATACGGGGTTTCACCATGTTGGGCAGGCTGGTCTCGAAGTCCTGACCTTGTGGTCTACCCACCTCAGCCTCCCAAAATGCAGGGATTACAGGCATGAGCCACTGTGCCCAGCCCAAAATGTGTCTTACAGGCTAAAATCACAATGTCTGTGTCCTTTTGCCTTTCCAGGTTACAGGGTGCCGGCACCCCCCGGCTCTTGGGCACCTCCCCGTGACCTCTCTTTACATCGGCATATCTCTTTCTCCCACTCTGATCCTCCTGCCTCCCTCTTATAAGGACCCTCGTGATTCTATCAGGACTGCCTGCAAATCCAGGATCATCCCCCAATCCCAAGAACCTTAATCTAATCACATTGGCAAAGCCTCTTCTGCCTTGCAAGGCAGCATATTCACAGATTCTGAGGATTAGCATGTGGACGACTTAGAGGGTCAGTCTGTATCTCCTCCAGGGAAGTAAGCTCACTGCTGTGTCCCCACCTGTGACAGTAGAAGGTCAGATAATGGCGAAGTCTCCTCCACCTGTGTAGCTCATTTCTCATGAAACCTCCCCTTGTCCACCCCAAAGGCCCCACCACGAGGTCACTTCCCCTACCACAACTCTGGCCCTGGTGACAGCAGTTGCTGCAGTATTGAACCCCGCTAAGACCACCAGGTGCAGATATCTGCTGCTGGGAACCTAGGTCTACCATGGCCCTTGCTGCTAGAAAAATTACATATACAGAAACAAAACAAAAAAAAAAAGCAACTTGATTTCCGACTTGCCAGGAAAATCGGAATTACTTTTATTGGTAAATAGTTTTGCAGCTATTTGAAGCGTAGAGAGCACTTCGTGAGCTGAGGCTGAGATGCTGGCATTCACAGGAAGATAGCCCTGGAGTAACTCACACACAGCACAGACACAGAGGGAGAATCCCCATCCCAGGGACAGCGTGGCTCCCAGGGAACTCCCAAGAGACACAGGCCTCATGTGGTCAGAGGTTAGGCCTGGGTCAGAGGAGAGAGGGGAGTGGCAGAGCAGAGATGCGTTACATCTTTGTGATACAATTGTGAACGCTATGTTATGTTGGCTTGAGATCTGCTGGGTCTACAGAGGCGCCAGTCAAACAGGTCCTGGATGAGTAAGAGAAGAATTCATAGAGTTTCAGGGCTGGGTAATAGTATGTTTTTTAAAAGTGCCCCCCTGCTTTTTTTTCTTTTTTTTTTTTTGAGATGAAGTCTCGCTCTGTCGACCAGGCTGGAGTGCAGTGGTGCGATGTCTGCTCACTGCAACCTCCACCTTTCAGGTTCAAGCGATTCTCCTGCCTCAGCCTCCCGAACAGCTGGGATTACAGGCACCTGCCACCACCACGCCCGGCTAATTTTTGTATTTTTAGTAGAGATGGGGTTTCGCCATGTTGGCCAGGCTGGTCTTAAACTCCTGACTTCAGGTGATCCACCTGCCTCAGCCTCCCAAAGTGCTGGGATTACAAGCGTGAGCCACCGCACCCGGCCAAAAGTGCTTTTTTTAAGAATGAAAATTTTCTCTATTTTTTACATTATATTTTTCCTCCTATTAAATGTAAAAACAACATATTGTCTATCCATGAAATGGATTATTGTGCAGCCTTAAAAAGCAAGGGAATTCTGACATGTACTACAACATGGATGAACCTTGAGGACATTATTCTACGTGAAATTAATCACAAAAGGACAAATATTGTATGATTTCACTTCTATGCAGTACCTAGAATAGTCAAACTCATAGAAGAGAAAGTAGAATAATATTTGCCTGTGCCTGGGAGGAGGGGGAATGGGGAGTTAGTGTTTAATGTGGACAGACTTTCAGTTTGGGAAGATGGAAGGAGTTCTGGAGGTGGATGGTGGTGATGATTGCACAACGATGTGAATGTAACAACGCTAGAGAAACCCTCCACCTGAAAATGGCTAAGATTTGGCTGGGCGCTGGGGCTCACGCCTGTAATCCCAGCACTTTAGGAGGCTGAGGTGGGTGGATCACCTGAGGTCAGGAGTTCGAGACCAGCCTGGCCAGCATGATGAAACCCCGTCTCTGCTAAAAATACAAAAATTAGCTGGGCATGGTGGCACACACCTGTAATCTCAGCTACTCTGGAGGCTGAGGCAGGAGAATCACTTGAACCTGGGAGGCAGAGGTTGCAGTGAGCCGAGATGTCACCACTGCACTCCAACCTGAGTGACAGGGCGAGACTCCGTCTAAAAAAAAAAAAAAAGAAAATAGCTAAGATTTAAATATATCATCTTAGCCATTTTCAAGTGGACAGTTTGTTTCTCTATCATGAAGCTACCTTCACATTGTTGTGTTATAAATTTTACCACAATTAAAATTATTTTGGGGGCCGGGCATGGTGGCTCATGCCTATAATCCCAGCACTTTGAGAGGCCGAGGCGGGCAGTTCACGAGGTCAGGAGATCGAGACCATCCTGGTTAACACGGCGAAACCCTGTCTCTACTAAAAATACAAAAAATTAGCCGGGCGTGGTGGCAGGTGCTTGTAGTCCCAGCTACTCTTGAGGCTGAGGCAGGAGAATGGCGTGAACCCGGGAGGCGGAGCTTGCAGGGAGCCGAGATTGCGCCACTGCACTGCAGCCTGGGCGACAGAGCAAGACTCTGTCTCAACAACAACAACAACAAAAATTTGTTTTGGCCAACCTGGGCAACATGGCTAAACCCTGTCTCTACAAATAAATACAAAAAATTAGCCAGGAGTCACACATGACTGTCATCCCAGTCACTCAGGAGGCTGAGGTGGGAGGATCGCCTGAGCCCAAGAGGTTGAGGCTGCAGTGAGCTGAGATCATGCCACTGCACTCCAGCCTGGGCGACAGAGTAAGACCCTGTCTAAAAAATGAAAAATAAAAATTTTTGAACTGGGTTTAAAAAATACCCCAAGGCAGGGCATCTCACACTCAGCACAGCTGCTGTGTGAGTGAGGCTGGCTACTTCTGTGTTGTGGGTGCTGTCTTGTGCAGTATGGGATGTTCCATGGCATCCTTGTCTTCCACCTTCCAGATGCTACTGGTGCCCCACCCAGGGTGACAACCAAAAATGTCTCCAGACATCGACAAATCCCCCTGATGGGCAAGATCACCCCCAGCGGAGAACCAATGCCCTGAAGGGTTGTTGGACAAAGGGGTTGAATGGTAACTGGGAAGTACTCATTGTAGTTCCTGATAAATAGCAGGAGTTTCTAGAAATGTTACTTCCCATTAGGATGCCTGCTTGACAGTGTCATGGGAGGGGACACACACCCCTGCATATCCTGAGACACATAACACGTCTCTGCTTCCAGCGTGCCGGTGAGCCCACCATTACAGATGAACTTGGGACCATGGAGACTTTAGAAGGGCAGGCCTGGGAGGGAGCCACAGTGGGTGCCTGACCATCCAGAGGCCGTGTGGAGCTCTGAGCACCATGACAGCCTATGGGAGGTACGAGACTCATGGACCATTCCTGGATTTCCTCACACTGCCTAACCAGAAGGTTCTCTCTAACCAGATCATCTGTAGTCACCAGACACAGGTTAGTTCCCTAGTACTCAGCCTAGGGCTCAACTCATAGGAAGTGTTTATTTTGGATGATGGAGCGGGTGGGGGTGGGGGTGGACATGGGGAGGTGATGGGAGCAGCAGTGGCAGGGATGGTCGAGATGACAGGGGTGATTGTGACATCAGTGGGAATAGTGGAAACTCTTGCTTCCTTCCCAAGAATATAATTATCTATAAGGCCAGGTGCAGTGGCTCATGCCTATAATCCCAGCACTTTAGGAGGTCGAGGCAGGCAGATCACTTGAGGTCAGGAGTTCAAGGCCAGCCGGGCCAACATGGTGAAACCCCATCTCTACTAAAAATACAAAAATTAGCCAGGCATGGTGGCAGGTGCCTGTAATTCCAGCTACTCAGGAGGCTGAGGCAGGAGAATGGCTTTAACCCGAGAGGCAGAGGTTACGGTGAGTAAAGGTTGCACCAATGCATGCCAGCCTGGGCGACAGAGCGAGACTCTGTCTCAAAAACAAACAAACAAAGAAAATTCTATGATCATCCTCTGCTCGTTTATTACCAGGGGAAGGACAGATTATAAAAATCACATGAACAGTCAGTCGGTTTTCCTCGCTTATGTGTGTGACTGATGTCAGGGTTTTAAGATGAGGGGTGGGACTCAGGCTAGTGTGTGGCATTCAGACACAGGTCACACCCCTGGTGCAGGGTCCCCGTTACCGCACTGCCCCTTCTACAGGACACACTCTGTGGAGCCAGGACAAGCCAGGGTGAACCCTTGACCCAAAGCTGCAGATGCAGCTTCCTCTTAGCAAAATCAGCTTATTACTCAATCAGACGAAGTGTCTGCGGTGGAGGCGAGATGGGAGTTTAATTGGGAATTTTTGCCCGATGCCACTGTCGATATTTAATGAAAGTGGTGGTGGAGAACACAGGTCAGCACTATCAGAAATTAGAGCTGGTGTTCCTGGCACCCGTGTCCCCAGGAGAGGAGCAAGCCCTGCGGTCCCCTCTCAGCTGCCTCCTTACGAATAATATTTTTCTGCGGCTTGAAGCAGCTGCAGCAGCGACCGTAGCACGTGCAGCTTCCCCAGATGCTCAGGGCGAATTAAGGACCTGGTGCCTGGGCAGAGCACTACACAGGGAGTCAGGAGACCTGGGTTCCAGTCTAGACTCCAAGTGACCTTAGACAAATTGCCCAAGTTCTCTGGGCCTCTCATCTGTAAAATAAGGGAGAGGGGTAGGGAGGGAGGGGAAGTGAGAGATACCAAAGGTGGCCTCAGATCCTCTATGATACTGTGAAACCAAGGCTGGCTGTGGCCTGAAAGGCCAAAAAGCCGCTGTTATTTCCTGGGCCTTTGGGATTGGAGTTCCTGGAGGCTGGCAGGGAGGGCAGGGGAAGGTATTCTACCAGCATAGGCTGGGCTCTCTTAGCCAGGGAGGGAAGGCAGAAGAGAGTGACGGGGAGTAGTAAGCTCTTGCCAAGAGCAGAGGGACCAATGCCCAGTGGTCCCTGGAGAACCTTCCATGTTGGTCCTTCCTCTAGGCCATGGGAGGAAGAACCTGCCTTCCCTGAAGTTGTAGCTGCAGTAATGGCTGCAGGATATTTTATTGTGTAGATGAGCCACGATTTACTCAGTCCTGGGAGGTTTCCAGTTTTCTCTCCTAGAAGCAATGCTGCTGTGAACAGCCTTGCCCACATTCTTCATGATTTCCCCAAGACACATTCCCACAAGTTGAAGTTTGTGGAAATGGGTGGGGTTGGGTGGGCTGGATCCACCGTATTTCTCTCCAATTCCCCCTTTGCACGACGGCCTCTCACCTTGGGAAGACTTGCAAAGCTCATGTCACAGCTCCTGGGCAGGCAGTTCACAGAAGGACACATCCAAGTTTCCACTAAGCACGTAATACAACGTTCAGCTCTCCTGATAACCAGATAAATGCAAACCAAATCAACAATATACCCTTTCATGGCTTATCAGATTGATAAAGATGAAAGAGTGACAAAATCCAGTGTTGGCACAAGTTCAAGGACTCACCCACAACCTTCAACTTGTGGGAATGTATCTTAGGGAAATAATTAAGAATGTGTTCAGCGGCCGGGCGCGGTGGCTCAAGCCTGTAATCCCAGCACTTTGGGAGGCCGAGACGGGCGGATCACGAGGTCAGGAGATCGAGACCATCCTGGTTAACATGGTGAAACCCCGTCTCTACTAAAAAAAAAAAAAATACAAAAAACTAGCCGGGCGAGGTGGCGGATGCCTGTAGTCCCAGCTACTCGGGAGGCTGAGGCAGGAGAATGGCGTGAACCCGGGAGGCGGAGCTTGCAGTGAGCTGAGATCCGGCCACTGCACTCCAGCCTGGGTGACAGCGCGAGACTCCGTCTCAAAAAAAAAAAAAAAAAAAAAAAGAATGTGTTCAGCCAGGCACGGTGGCTCATGCCTGTAATCCCAGCACTTTGGGAGGCCGAGGCAGGCGGATCATGAGGTCAGGAGTTCAAGACCAGCCTGGCCAACATGGTAAAACCCCGTCTCTACTAAATATACAAAAATTAGCCAGGCATGGTGGCAAGTGCCTGTAATTCCAGCTGCTCAGGAGCTGAGGCAGGAGAATTGCTTGAACCCGGGAGGCGGAGGTTGCAGTGAGCTGAGATCCCACCACCACTGCACTCCAGCCTAGGTGACAGAGCAGGACTCCGTCTCAGAAAAAAGAAAAAAAATGTGTGCAAGGCTGTTCATAGCAGCATTAGTTCTAAGAGAGAAAACTGGAAACATCCTGGGGTTGGGTAAGTAAATCATGGCTCATCTACACAGTAAAATACCCTGCAGCCATTAAAAATGATATAATTATATTTGTTGAATGGAAAGATGTTCCCAGTATGGTTATCCGACAGAGTGGTGGAGTATATTTCTACTTGGTAGTTTTATGTACATACATACACACACCACACACACACACACACACACACACACACAGTCTAGAAAGGTATAAGCCAAGTGTTAACTGTTTTTTTTTTAATTCTACCTTCTCTTTGATTGTTTTTATTGTCTCAGTATATATGTGAGCTTTGCCTAATAAGTGGAGTTAGGAAAACAAAAATATATTTTTAATGACAAAAAGTGCTTACCAGAGCCTGTTGTTAATCTGAGTTACGCAGTTCCCAGGAGGCCAGACGAGGGGAAAGGCCCTGAGAGATCCTCTGGCTGCAGGCCTGTTTGTTGGCAAGGGGCCGGTCCGGTGCAAGAGATTAATCTCAGTCTAACATCCGCTGTGTCACTGTCTATTTCTGGAGAATGGCAGCTCCTCACCCTCTCCAGCTCAGGTGTCAGCTGCTGGGGAGAAGGCATCACTCAAGGGGAGGGAGTCCAGACAGGTGGTGACAGGCAGGCCACCGAGCCGCCCTGCACAAGGGAGATGCCTGTCTCTTCTGAATGTGCCCTGGAAGAGAAGGAAGTCGTGGTTATAAGGGGAGGGTGCTGCGGACCCTGTTCTGCCTAGGCCGGAATGAGATGGAGCCCACTTTGGTTTCAGTGGGTTGGAGGTAGACCCATCACAAGACGAAAGGTAGGAGGTCAACTTCCCACTAGTTGAGCCTGCCCATTGTGGGGAGGTGAGCCGCGTGACTCCCGCTGCCTGCCGAAGCCCTCGTGTTTTATAGAACAGCAGGACCCAGTTAAATGATCTGTGGCTGTGGGACAAAGGCTGACAGTTAGGACAGGAGCCCAACTCGTTCTTGAATTCCATTGTCCTAGAATCCATCGGTTGGGTGTCTTGAGCATAAACAGAAGCCAACTCTGTCTAATGTAGGGAGGGAAGGAATTTGTTGCAGGGATGTCAGATAGTTCACAGAACTGAAAAGAAGCCTGGAGAGGCAGGCTCAGAAGAGAATGGGGTAGCTCTGCAGGTGGAGAACGCAGAACGAATGGACAGTTTCTCCAGGGCGGGGCTGCTGGCTGGACTGAACGGGTTCCAGCCTTCTATTCAGTCAATCCACCCAAGACTCAGTGTCCTGGGACGGACAGACTCTGGCTCAGTGTGGGTTGGGTACCAACCTCTATGCCAGGAGAGGGCCACACATTTTAAGAAAGTTAAGCTAGGTGCAGTGGCTCACACCTGTAATCCCAGCACTTTAGGAGGTTGAGGCAGGTGGATCACTTGAGTCTGGGAGTTCAAGACCAGCCTGGGCAACATGGCGAAATCTCGTCTCTACTAAAAATACAAAAATTAGCCCGGTGTGGTTGCGCGTGCCTGTAGCCCCAGTTACTTGAGAGGCTGAGGTGGGAAGATTGGTTGAACCCAGGAGGTGGAGGTTGCAGTGAGCCATGACCATGCCGCTGCACTCCAGCCTGGGTGACAGAGTGAGACCCTGTCTCAAAAAAAAGAAAAAGAAAGAAAGAAAGAAAGATGGAAGGAAGGAAGGAAGGAAAGGAAGGAAGGAAGGGCACCAAGACATATTTAATGGGTGAGAAGTGATTGCCCCAAAAGAAGCTGGGAATTTGCCTCAGGAGAGATGAAGGGGGAGAAGCCAGGGGGCAACAGGTGGCTATGAAATATGTGATACCTATAGTGGGTTGAACTGCATCCCCTGAAAAGGCTTGTCCAAGCCCTAAGCCTTGGCGCCTATGAATGTGACCTGTTTTTGGAAAAAGGGTCTTTACAAATGTAATTAAATGAAGGATCTGGAGATGAGGTCATCCTGGATTGAGGGTAGGACTGTCCCAAATCCAATGGCAGATGTCCTTGTAAGGGAAAGGCAGAGGGAGACTTGCAAATTGGAGACTCAGAGCAGAGGCCGTGTGGAGACAGAGGGAGAGGCAGGCATAAGCCAAAGGATGTCAAGAACCACCAGAAGAGTTTGAGACCAGCCTGGCCAACATGATGAAACCCCATCTCTACTAAAAATACAAAAATTAGCTGGGCGTGGTGGCAGGCACCTGTAATCCCACCTACTCGGGAGGCTGAGGCAGGAGAATCGCTTGAACCCGGGAGGCAAAGGTTGCAGTGAGCTTAGATTGCACCACTGCACTCCAGCCTGGGGACACAGCGAGACTCCATCTCAAAAAAAAAAAAAAAAAAAAAAGAGGAACCACCAGAAGCTGGAGGAGTCCAGGAAGGATTCTCCCCAGAGCCTTCGGAGGGAGCCCAGCCTGGCTGACACCTTGATTTCAGAATCCTGGCCTCTAAAGCTATGAGATAATAAATTTGTTTTAAGCCCCTCAGTTTGTGGTAATTTGTAACAGCAGCCCAAAAAACAAACACAGCATTCAACCCTCCTAGAATGACCTTTTAGTGCTCTTTGCCCTGAGTACTCCAGGCTCAGGCCACCAATGGAGGTAGCATGGGCCCCAAACCAGGTTGACAAGACATTGTGCAGCTTTGGCATCATTATAGGACCCTCTGGGTCTTAGTGTCCTGGCAATAACTTGTGCAAGCATTCTTCTTCTTCTTTTTTTTTAAGACGAGGTTTTGCTTTTGTTGCCTAGGCTGGAGTACAGTGGCGCAGTCTCGGCTCATCACAACCTCTGCCTCTCGGGTTCAAGCGATTCTCCTGTCTCAGCCACCTGAGTAGTTGGGATTACAGGCATGCACCATCATGCCTGGCTAATTTTGTATTTTTGGTAGAGACGGGGTTTCTCTATGTTGGTCAGGCTGGTCTTGAACTCCTGACCTCAAGTGATCTGCCTGCCTCAGCCTCCCAAAGTGCTGGGATTACAGGTGTGAGCCACTGCGCCCGGCCTGTGCAAGCATTCTTAAGGCAACAGGAAAGGGTACTGGCTAACTGCATAGGCACTAGAGTGAGATCACCTGATTCTAGATCTTGGCTCTTCCATTCTTAGCTGGATAACCTCAAGCAGGTAACATAACTGTTCAGTTTGCTTATCTGCGAACCAGGATCCTCCCAGGACCAGCCGCAGAATTTGTTTTGTAGACGAAAGGCGTGCAGGCAATGCAGGGTGCTTAGAAGAATATCTGGCCTATGGTGAGGCTGCAGGAGAGGCTGGCTGATGCATCTCCACTCTGTTTCCAAAGATCAATGAGAATTTCCGCCTCCCAAGAGAGGAAAGCATGAAAACATACACAGCTTCTCTCTCCTCCAGAGAGTTGCAAGTTACCTGCTGGTGAATTTGGGGAAAAGAACTTTTGTCCTGGAAGGCAGGGGCCTGTGCCGGTCCAGCACCATTGGCCACTGGGGATCCACCTGTCTGATAGGGGAGCTGGCTTCAGAACTCCTTTGTGGCCACACATCTAAGCCATGTTCTCTGATCCTGTCTTTATTCATAGGTTGATTCAAAAATATCATTTACAAGTTCTAGTCCTAGGTATACAGCAGGGAACAAAACAAAATGCTGGACCTCACATAGCCGACCTGGGGGTGGGGGAGGAGCAGGGAGGCAGAAAATAAATACCTGCGCAGAGAAAACTAAAGAAGGAAGGGGGAGATGGAGGATGATGGGGTGGGGAGAGCACCTGCTTTGAATGGAGGCAGGGAGGCCTCTTTGAGAAGGTGACCGCCTAGAGTCGCCTGAAGAAAGGGAAGGAGTGAGCCAGGCAGAGCAGGCAGGTGCAGAGGCCGCGAGGGCACGGCCTCTGCCGGGGTGTTTGAGGAACGGCGAGCAAGGCAGAGTGGAGGGGTTTAGCAGGGATGATACGGACTGTGGATTTCATTTTAAGAGAGATGGGGAGCCACTGAGGGTGGTTGAGCAGAGGAATGACTAGAGGTACTTATAATAAATCTCTCTACACACACACACACGCGCGCGCACACGCACACGCGTGCTCGCTCCCTCTCCCCTCTCCTCCCCTCGCCTCCACACTCCTCCCTGCTCCTCCACTCCCCACTCCTCTCCTCCCTGTTGGTTCTGTTTCTCTGGAGCACCCTAACACGGGCACCATCCTCATATATCTGGAGTCAGATGCAGGCTCAGTCTGCAACTTCAAAAATCTGAACAATGCTAACCACAGGGTTCTTGAGTACGTGTGTGGCCAGGTACTGTGGTGAGAGCTTTTCAGATATTCCCTTGTTTCATGTTCACAGTGTCACCTTCAGGTGGTACTCAGGGTGGCTAGGCCTGGCCCAGGGTCACACAGGCACCAGGAGGTACAGTGGCCCAGCCTGGGGTCCGTCCTAACCCTAACATGGGCAGCATCTCTCCATTCTGTTTTTCGGGGCATCCAGGAAGCCTTTCTGACAAGGGTTTCCAGAAACTGTGCTCCCTGGATGCCCCATGGCTTCACCCAGCACTTTGGGAGGCCGAGGCAGGTGGATCACCTGAGGTCAGGAGTTCGAGACCAGCCTGGCCAATATGGTGAAACCCCATCTGTACTAAAAATACAAAAATTAGCTGGGGGTGGTGGCGTGCACCTGTAATCCCAGTTACTCGGGAGGCTGAGGCAGGAGAATTGCCTGAGCTCGGGAGGCAGAGGTTCCAGTGAGCCAAGATCACACCACGGCACTCCAGCCTGGGCTACAGAGCAAGACTCTGTCTCGAAATTAAATAAATTAATTAATAAAATTAAAAAGATACTGTGCCTCGAAGGGGCTTGTTGGGAGGGGCTGGGCCAGGCTGGTGCAGCCCTGGGTCTCGTGCCTGGGAGAATGGGAGGCACGATGCAGTGGCCAAGCTGCAGAGCCAGACCAGCTGGGGTCAGGCCCAGCTCTGGTATTTCCCTGCTGCATGGCCCCGGGCAAGTGACTTGCCCTCTCTGTGCCTCAGTTTGGTCAGCCGTAAGATGTGGATATTTGCAGTGGCCTTCCGATCGGGTTGGCCTGAGGAATAAACAAGGCGAGTACGTTCTGTGAAGCTTCAAGTGTGCCAGGCACACACCAGGTGCTGTGAAGTATTGGCTTTCGTTCGCTATTCTTAACTTAGACAGCTGAAGGGACGGGTCGGGAAAAGAACATTCCAAGGTCAAGCAGGAACATTGCAGGGATCCCATCCTTACCTCCACATGCCGCCTGCCAGCCCACCCTTCCACTGTCCTGCTGATCCAGCCCCCAAAGCCCCCTCTGGGCTTGCCCTTGACCTCTCCTGTGGGGCTTTGCACTTTCTTTTTTCTTTTTTCTGAGACAGAGTCTTACTTGGTAGCCCAAGCTGGAGTGCAGTGGCGCGATCTCGGCTCACTGCAACCTTTGCCTCTGGGGCTCAAGAGATTCTCCTGTCTCAGCCTCCCAAGCAGCTGGGACTAGAGGCTTGTGCCACCATACCTGGTTAGTTTTTTTTGGTATTTTTAGTAGAGACGGGGTTTCACCATGTTGCCCGGGGTGGTCTCGAACTCCTGAGTTCAGGCTATCCACCAGCCTCGGCTTCCCAAAGTGCTGGGATTACAGGCGTGAGCCGCTGTGCCTGGCAGGGCTTTGCACTTTCTACTTTAAATGTTCTCTTTTGTGCCTGTGTCCTGATGCCTCTTCTCTAAGACCTAAGCTCCATGAGGCCAGGGCCACCTCTCTCTGTCTCTCTCTCTTCCTCCTTCTCTCCCTGCCTCCCTTCCATCCTCCCTTCCTTCCTTTTGTATCCTGAATGGCATGTAGCATGAAGCCTC